ACAAGGTTACACCTGCCTGCTACTGCTAGTACGATGCACGGAACTTGTGCGGGCCGGGAACTAAATAGTACTATAACTATAAAAGCATGCGACAAACAAGCACACGGTATCGAATTGTTCTGCTTTCTTTGGAAAGGCGCGCGATTTTCCGATGAACACAGGGCGCCGCACAATCTCGCGGTACAGTTCACCGGATCACCCCGATACGCGATACATATGCCATACGCCCATACGTACTCCTCCTACATTGTATTGGAAGAGGAAAAAAAACAAGGGGGGATGGCAAGTATAGCCAAGTGCGTATGTGCCGGAGACGGGCCGCGCCAGGACACAAGTCCCTGGCACGCCGGCTTCTGGTAGCCTTCTCGCCGTGTGGCATATATATGGTCCCCGGCCGGCACGTACTACTACTTGTTTGGACGCAGCGGGGTGGCACGTAAGCACGTTGGCGTCGTCAGGTTCAATGGTTCGGTGCCTCGTGCATCGGGCCGTGCTTTAAAATATGAGCAGGAGCGGCAGGTCCGTTAGCCAGCCATCTGGTCCATCTCTCCTCTCCATCGTGATATTTTCCACATGTGTGATTGGCCGCACGGCCAGCTGACGCGATAAGAGATGACTAAGGGCATTTTGAATCATAGGATTGAGAAAATATAGGGATAGAAAAAAAAGTAAGATTTTAATATGAATGTAAGTGTAAAACAGAGGATTGCAAAACGCAAGAAAAACACAGGAATTACCGTTTGATTGAATCACAAGAAAAACACAGCAATTGGATGAGAGATATAGACTCAAAGGAAAGTTAGCAAGAGGTTGAAGCTCTTGTTAAATTTCCTCCAAAATCTCTATAGGGTTGTCTATTCCATAGGAATTTCAAAGGATTAGGATTCAATCCTTTGTTTCAAAGGGCTTCATAGAAAATTTTCCTATAGGATTGAAATCCTCTGAAATTCCTATGTTTTTCCTCCAAATCAAAGGGGCCCTAAAACTTTTAAATCCCTATCGCATCGGATGTTTGGATACTAATTATAAATATTAAACGTAGACTATTAATAAAACACATCCATAACCTTGGACTAATTCGCGAGACAAATCTATTGAGCCTAATTAATCTATGATTAGCCTATGTGATGCTACAGTAAACATTATCTAATTATGAAGTAATTAGGCTTAAAAAATTTATCTCACAAATTAGCTTTCATTTATGTAATTAGTTTTGTAAGTAGTCTATATTTAATGCTCTAAATTAATATATAAATACAGAGACTAAAATTAAGTCTCTGATCCAAACACCACCTTAATTCCTTTTGGCAGGAGTAGGCAGTCGTAGGAGTATGTGTTTAGTTTCTCCCTTTTCCAACTTTCCATCATATTATATCACATCAAAAAATTTTCTACACACATGAACTTTTAACTTTTTTTTTAAACTTCTAACTTTCTTCAAATTTTAACTTTTTTAAGAAACAAAACACACCCGTAGTTTGAGTAGGAAGAGCACGTTGAATTGATTCGGCTGACATATAATGCAAGTTGGTGTCCTGGGCGGCTTACAAAACCACTCTATCATCGACGTGGAATACTACAGGCGTTGTATCCTTGAACCCAGGGGCATTGCCTACCCCCATTCCATATATGGACTATGCACATGAACAAATATTATAGGCAAACATCATCCATTGCACGGACGCGCGACTAAGCTTATTATAGAGGCCTCCAAGGGCCCCTAATGTTTGGGACTGTCTATATGACAGTACATGTTGGGATGTTTAGATCCAGAGGTGTAAAGTTTTAGCGTGTCACATCGAATATTATATAGGATGTCGCATGGGGTGTTTGGCACTAATAAAAAACTAATTACAGAATCCGTCAGTAAACCGCAAGACGAATTTATTAAGCCTAATTAATCCGTCATTAGCAAATGTTTACTGTAGCAACATATTATCAAAACATGGAGCGATTAAGCTTAAAAGATTCGTCTCGCAAATTAGTTGCAATATGTGCAATTAATTATTTTTAGCCTATATTTAATACTTCATGCATGTGTTTCAATGTTCGATGTGACATGGTGTAAAAATTTTGGGATGGGATCTAAAGAGGCCCTTTATTTCATTTACTCTCTCCATTGCATAATAAGCATAGTTGTGAGTTTCAGTGCCCAACTTTGACTATCCGTAATATTTTTATGATTAGTATTTTTATTGTTATTAGATGATAAAATATAAATAATACTTTATGCGTGACTTAACTTTTTAAAAAAATTTCATAAAATTTTCAAATAAGACGGCCAAACATTGAGCACGAAAACTTATGGCTGCACTTATAATGGAACTGCACTTATAATGGAACGGAGGGAGTAAGAAATAGAGTACATGATTAAGCGTTCAATTAATTGCACTGAAATAATCTTTCAGATCTTTAGCATAGCATCCTCTGCTAGGATAAGCAAGATGTGATATATTTTGACAGTTATGGACCAGGCTACTAGGTTGATTAACTTTATGTGATGTATTTTCACGGACATGGACCAAGCTACTAGGTTGGTGATGAACTTTAATTTCCTTTGCCAGTTTATCTGCTAACCGATTGATATCCCTTGGTGTCGGTGATATCGGCTCGGGGTATCACGTCTAGAGGAAGGAGGCCGCCCTCAAACCCACGTGGCTTCCCCCGAGGGGGATCAAGCCCGGGGTGGAGCGACTACTGCCCCCTCCTAGCTAGAGAGAGGAGGCTGCCGCCCTGACCCCTCCACGTATCAGCCCACGTGTATAGGGTTAGGTGGGCGTGCCTCACGCCCACCTAACTGCATTTACAGTGGTCTATGCAGCCACGCCATGCCGCATTTAATGCGGGCATGCTGCGCATCTGACCGGTCTGTGACCGGTCGAATGATCGATGGGACGACGACTGTGTACCCCCACCCTGTCAGTGTGTCAGGCAGCGTGCGGCGTGCTCCATCCCGTCCCATCATAATGATGACGTGCTTCACAGCCTCTTATCCCGGTCAGAGATGGTCCAACCACTCTGAACTGACCCGTGTTCCTATTTCCCCGTGTGAACGGGAACTCGGAAGTCCTCAACCATTAAACGGCGAATGACAAGGACGCCCCGCATGATCTGATGGGCCCCACGCAGCAGCCGATATGCAAATAGCTTCTGGGCTAAGGCACAAGACATGTAACTAATATAGAGAACATTTTCCCTTCTCCCTAAGTAGCACTCGCAGCATATGTGGTATCCCCTTAGAATATAAAAGGAGGACCATACCTAGCGGGAAGGGGAGGGGGATTGAACTCTGGATCCCTGAGCCAAAGCTTGTCTAACCCTAGCTTGTACACCAGGGATTTAGGGACTTTCTAAGCACAGAAGAATCATCATACACACAGGAGTAGGGTATTACGCTTCATAGCGGCCCGAACATGTATAAACCCTTTTTCTCTCATCGTCTTGGAGGGACCTAACCCCCTCAAAATCACACCCTTTCCAAGCCCTCGAATCTCACCCGCTGCCTCCGGCCGAACCAAAAAAGGAGGCCTCACGGTTCTCTGGTGGAGGAGTTCACCCTCCAAAACTTGGGATTCATCTAACCTGCAACAAGTTTTTGGAATATTTGATTGAATCAGGCTAGAAGAGGTTTGAGACTCCAGTGACCTGGTTAATCATCAAAGTTTTTCTTTTTAAAATATATGCAATTACTATATTATATATATGAAAAAGATTGTTCCTGTAAAGCTGAAGAAATTTGCAAAATCCAGTCATATATCTCATCAAGACAATGTGGCTGGATATGTTACATCGAGCAATATTTGAAGCACAGTTTATTCGCTCATAGTAGTTTTGTAACGTTGGATCTTGGGTTAACTGGAAAGGAAATGAGACAATCAAAGCCGTTGTTAACGTAAGACACGACGTTAGTAGAGCAACCAACATATAACAGGTAGCGTACGTTCGTCGGTCTTGTGTTATACTATTATGAGTATCAGATGTAGAGGTTGGCCAATGTCTCTGCCAGGTGATGAGCTATGATACCCTTACGTGGACTCGTCTAAGATAATACACCAAGCACGAATTATCCAAAGGGAAAAGAAAAACATGTCAAATTCGTTGCGTAAGCATCGAATTTTTTTCAATAATGTGGTTGCCACGGAGCGAGCATTATGCAACAGCCAACCAAAACCTGGCTTTCGTAGGGAATCAACACGTAATAGATCGACTCCGATCTCCTGGTCTTTTCAGTCGAATCTATCCGTAATCAGATCAGACCCTTTCACCCAAAAAGGCTCAAATCATATAACCACGGATCGGATCGATCACAGACACGATATTTCGAGCCTTTTGTGGGTATATATTTTTCTATGTCTACGTGGGAGGCCTGGCCAAGCCAAGCCGATGCTTATGACGCAACGTCCCAACCGTCAGCGTCCGCTCACAAACACGCGCGGCGACGAGGCTTTGCGTTAGGAATACGACACGCCCGCGCCGCACGCTGCCAGGTAGAGCTCGGCACGACAGCGACGGCAACGCCACGCGACTCCGACGCGGGCGCTGTGGAATCCGTGCGCCGCGATGATGGTGGACGAGAGAGCGAGGGAGAGGGCAACGTGTTCGGTGGCCGCGAGCCCGCGAGGCGCCGGGCCGAGAGACCTTGCTATCACGTAGATCACGCTGTTGGGCACTTCGGATTCGAGCGCGAGATTTTTTGCTCGTGCAGGCTACCGGGGAGAACCCTTTTTTCCGCAGCTTCGCTGTTGGCGACGAGTCCGTGGTGCACGTAGGCGTCTGCACGCCTCGCTTTCCCGGATGCGAGCGAGACAGCCTATGGCCTATGGCCGTCGAGGCAGAAGGCAGCAGCATCTCGAAGTGGACAGTTGGACACTCCGTTCTGCTGTAGTGTTCGAGGTGAAGCCTTTTTGGCGTCTGTTCACCAACAGTTCTTACTACCAGTTATTATTACCAGCGTTCTACGCAATGGGTGTGAATCCAAACAAACGATCTGGAAACATCACTGGATCACAGATGAAAGGTACTAACCATCACTGAATCACAGATGAAAGGTAATTAAGACGGAGGCACAAAGTATTTGCGCAATATCTAGCTAACAACGCCTCCATCACATAGTTCTGAAAGGGCTTGTGCAATGGAAAAATATATCACGCGTCCATGATGGACTCACTTTCACACAAGTGTTTTTCACCTTTTCTTTAGTTTCTAACAACCAACTCCACGAATATCAGACGCGCTGTTTCCTGGCAGCAAGAACATCCATCATCCATGACTCCCTCCTCAACTGGGGTAAAGCCCATTCACAGTCATACCTCCATCGACGGCGATCGTCTGACCAGTAATGTAAGTTGAACCAGGCATACAAAGGAAGGCAACTAACGATGAGATTTCTGCTGGTTCTCCGACACGCCTAAGAGGAGTCCGGCTCTTAACAGAGCCCTCGAACTCCTTGTTTGCCAAAATCTGTTCGAAGAATAAAAATATACGAGATGTGGGTTCAGCGTGTTGAAGATATCGAAATAAAGTGAACTATTGAACAGTGTAACATTTGGAAGCAACACACTTGGGCAAAATATAACTATAGGCCGTGTTTAGTTGTTTAGGTGTAAAAATTTTGACGTATACGGACACATATTTGAAATATTAAACGTAGTCTAATAACAAAACAAATTATAAATTCCGCCTATAAACTGCTAGACGAATCAAGCCTAATTAATCCGTCATTAGCAAATGTTTACTGTAGCACCACATTATCAAATCATGGCGTAATTAGGCTGAAAAGATTCGTCTCGCAATTTACATGCAAGCTGTGCAATTGGTTTTTTTTTGTCCACATTTAATGCTACGTGCATGTGTTCAAACATTTGATGTGACGGAATTTTTGGAAGTTTGAAGGGAACTAAACACAGCGTATGATTTATGCTTGTATACTAATGATTGACAAGGATGGTGAAGCAGCTATTGACAAGACATGGAGACTTCTAAGAAGTAATTACGTAGGGATCGTGCTTGATTGCTTCAAAACCTTCATTTCTAATCTTAATAGTGATATACAATTATTTTGCATATTTTTCCAAAAAAGGGCACTTTGAAGCACCAACATCTAAACAGTTATATGGGGGAATAAAGGATAGTCATGAAGCAAATGCAGCCTAGCAGCAACCAGCACACTTCATCATAGTAGAAGCCACATGATATTCCGACTTATTAATACAGTGAAACTTAGTAAATTAACACAAGAAGACACTTACTCCTTCTGAAAGCGAAGTTAAGATGTACCCTGGGGCAACACAGTTGGTTCTTATGTTGTCTTTTGCCCATTCACATGCTAAGTTCTTGGTTAATTGATTCATGGCACCTACACAAATCTTGTAGACAGAACAAAGTCATGATCATATATGCTGGTAAATAAAATGGACATTCATAGTGAGCTATAACTATTACCTTTAGTCATAGCATAGATAGTTCCACTAAATAGGGCTACAATTCCAGCAACTGATGATATGAAAACAATGCTACCCGACCCAGATGCTTTTAAAAGAGGATGCCCAAGTTGACACAAATGATATGCAGATTCAAGATTTGTAGCCATCAAAAATGAGTATTCGTCTGCAGAATACTCAGTAGTAGGTTTCCTTATGTTTGTCCCCACATTGTTTACCTAGAAGAGCAAATGAAGAACGGCAACATAAATCATCAAGTGACAAACTAAAGCAGGCGCAATAAACATGTAAATTAACAAAGCAAAGGTATTGCAGCAAGAAAATATACATGGAGAGTGCTCACAAGTCAGAACTCAATCTTGGGTCAAATTGCAAATTGATGTATGATAAATACTACGGGCATCAAATATTCAAATCCATTAGCTCCAGGCAGTTCTAGGTTAGCACCAAACATTATTGGGCACTGGGCAGTAGTGGGCTTGGGTTGGTGAGGTCTAAAAGGCAATTTTTCACCATGTCTTATGAGTAGTGCTGCTATCAGGAATTTCCATTCAATCTTGTGCTCACATTTTTCTTCTATTGAATTGAACCATGCTATATGCCTGTGCAGCGTGAAAATAAGACATTCAATTGGGACTTCATTTCTGAACATAAAGCTATTTATAAATCCCTCTCTTTCTGCAGCAACGGAGGTGCTTGCTTGGGGAAGTGGTTCAGTCAAAGCCTCGAAATGTCGATTACAAGTAGGTAATCTTAGATATTCAAACTGCAAGCAGCAAATGTATAATAATGAATGCGCCGATCCAAGCACAGTCGAAGCTGCCACTGAAGGGGAGATATGCATCACCACCATGACCACTAAAATGTTTCAGCTGACAAAACGGGAAATGGCAAATGTTTATCCTGAACATTCATTTCTTTGAGATATACCAATACTGCGTTCAACTGAATGGGGATTGGGGAGGGATTAGTCCAACTTCGAACTCACGAGGATGTCGAGCTTGCCGCCGAAGCGGTCAGCGACGTCGCCGATGAGGCGCTCCCGCTGGTCCCGCGCGGAGAGGTCGCAGACGGAGATGGTGACGCGGAACCCCCTGGCCTCCCACTCCTTGAGGCGCTCCCCTAGCTCCGCCTCATTGCGGGAGCAGGTATGCACGGCCGCCCCCAGCGCCGCCAGCTCCTCCACCACCGCACGCCTGCGCCGCCACCAAAACGAACCGCCTCGCGTCAACCGTCGAGGGAATCTTGCAGTCTCAGTGTGTCACTAGGGAATCATGCAACCGTCGGGGTCGGGGAGAGAGAATATACCCAATCCCGCGGGTGCCTCCGGTGACCAGAGCCATCTTGCCATGGAGAGACCACCTCCCCGGCGCCGCCACCGTGCCCGAGGTCTCCGCCGCGGCCATCTCCCCGGTTACGGCTGTCTCGCCGGTCGGTCCGGCCGGCCCTGCTTCCGCTTATCCGTTCACCACAACTAGGGGAAAGGGTGGGAGCAGGGTTGCTTTGAGATTGGTGACGGTGCCAGCTGGCAAGATCATAAGCTATGAGTAAAAAGTTCGCTTTTTAATATGAATATTTCTATGTTTATAACTTTTCTATACCAAAATATTATATGTATAGAGTTTCTATACTTTATATTTCTATGTATGAAATATTGTATTGAATGTTTATTTATACATGCAAAGTTTATTTTTGCAAAATTTATATGTGCATAAAGTTTACGTGTGTAAATTTTTTTAGAAAGTTTTTGAGTATAAAGTTTGACAATTTAAGTAGAGAATAGTATTAACAGAAAGTTTTATTTAAATTAGCCAAAATTTGTGAATATAAAGCCATTAACATGTTAAAAAATCATTCCTAAAGGTGCTAAATATGCATAAGGTGCGAAACAGGAATGCTAATCATTTTTTTTTTTAAAAAAGACACTCCTAGCTAATAACTTTAAAACAATACGCTAATTACAACAACCATCGTGTGAAAAAAAAACACTAATCATGATAACTGACACAATAGTTGCGCATTCTTTGCGAGTGGACGATCACACGAATGTTTATGAATAAGACCCACCTGGCTGTTGGGATACGCGTAGGCTACGATAGCATAAATCAAAATTTTCTATCGCGTAACCAGGAACCATGCAAATATTAGATCATAGATCGTTACCACTCGACGCGCTGCGCAGCGGAAGAAAACGCTAAGAAGTCGAAGGAACTCTCGCGAAGTAGCGCGCGTCGATGTAGAAGAAGTAGTCGATTGCATCGGCTCGACCTTCTCCTCCTCGTGCGTTCTCCTCGCCGTACTTCCATGCCGATCAGCACCGCATACCAGCAGCGCCTCTACCTGTATCCACACGTACAGGGACGGAACGCCACGTGCAGATGTACTAGCACCCGCGCGCGGCTAGGGTTTTGCTCGGGGAGGGAAATGACGACTAGGGTTTCTCACGTGATGCAATATCTCCGCCGGTCACACCCCTCACGAATATATAGGATCCATCACTCGGGACTCCAAGGCACGTAGGACTCCTATTCGGATCCCTATCCGAATTAAGCTTATATTGGATCTCCATCCAATCCCCTTATTTCGGCCCATTAAGCGTGCGACCCTGTAGGTTCATGTATACTCGGTTCTAACCCAAAACTCCTTTTCAGTCCACACGTCAATAGCGGCCCCTAGCAGAACGTATTGACCCACCAGGCATATATAAAGATCATATCGGCTGAACCTCTAGTGTATACTTGTATGAACCCCTTTGCATCACGATATCGATTAAGCTCAAGGCTAGATATGTGCCATCCTCTAATAGCTTAATCATCCACTCGAACCTGTTAATAGATTATATAACTTGTGATTGACTCCTCAATCACCTTTGGCATGGCCATGCACTTCCATAATCTACAACATCGAGGGGCTCAGAGATATCTCTCCATAGGAGGGGCAAATCCCATCTTGATTATTCATATCTCACTACACGTTTCATAGCATACCCGAAAACTACTTTTATAACTACCCAATTACGGAGTAGCGTTTAGCAGTCCCTAAGTAAGCTACTACACATGTTGAGAACTATGATAATCTCAGATCTAAGGATTCAACACCAACACTAAATGAGATCACTGATGACACAACACATATGGCTCTTGCAGTGTCTCATGTTGGGTCTATCCAACAACATGTTCACCAACATGTGTCCACATTATTAATTTGGTATCTCTATACCATGATCATCAATTAATACATGTGCTGATTATCTAAACATATTTGTTTCACATATGATATTTGATCAGGGATTATTTAGAAATAGCAACACATAACATAAGTCTCATGAAAGAATCACATATTCATTAACCAATAATGAGTTTATCTATTTCAAAAAACAAAGTCGAATAAATATGTAAATATAGCGTGTGATACAATCTCTCTATGATTACCTTTAGGGCATATCACTAACACTCGCATCCACGGCATCCCTGACCTTCTGTGCAAGTTCCTCCTCTCCCTCGATCTCCTTCCCTACCATACACTGTTTGCAATATACACATCCTTTTTTACCGAGAGCAAAGTCCTGTCACCACGCGGGGTGTTACCGCTAAACTTGTTAAGGCAGTAGCAATACAACTCCTCATTTGCTGGACCTCACTAGCCAACTAGGCCCAAGTTCTTAGAAGGACACAAGTGTCACAGTGATATATGATAAGCATGATTTGAGAACCGGGGGTTAGGCAACTAGTTACAAGGACATGACCTCCACTTTTTTTTGTTAGATAATGGATACGAATCCGGCCTCTACATGACCTCTACTTAATGGCCGAATGCCTCTATGCATGCTGTAAAACCTTGTTTCGCGAGAAAGGGTGTCCCATTTTTGCTCTGCATTCCTCACTAGGCATGGAATCTACGCCCAGGCCGAACACCACACACGTACCGTAAAAAGCCCTTAGTGTCTTTTTGCGGCATGCATCAGAAGCGCTCAGAGGTAGAACCGCTACTAATATACAACATATATTTCATATATCCTAAAATAGATATCTATCCTAATATATAACTTTCGAGGAGTGTTTTGGGGGTTAATGATAGGATAAAAGGTCTAAAATATCCTTTATTAATACATGATGAAGTGATGAAAATTAACAATAATATTGGTGTGGTGCGGGTCTCAAGGATTGGTGGGGTGATAGGTCCCACCAAGGATAGTATGGGAAGTAAAAGGGTAAAAATCACCTTTTAAATATTCTAGATAGTTATATTTTAGACAAAAATAAAACCTATATGTAATATTTTGAGATCAAGAAGTAAAGATCATTAGCATCAATAGTGAGCCGATAAAGGGTTTATTCAACTAGGGCTGCTAGCATTAGTAGCGACCCAAAATAGGGTATTCTGGAAAAAAATACCAGGGTCTCTATAAAACAATTGCTTGAGAGTTTATTTTTTTCCTAGCGGTACAATAACAATAATATTTTTTTCGACATGATCACTCAACGCCGCCTTCGATCCTGACAATTCCTTCTCTCTTCTTTTGCTAAAGTCGATTCGACCAAAGAAGACATTTGTGCCACAATTCCGTTAAGATAAGATGAGGATATAGAGATATCGATTTTTCTTTTTTCTTAATCTATATACTTCTTTCGTTTCACAATGTAAGTCATTTTAGTATTTCTCACGTTCATATTGAGGCTAATGAATCGTTTCACAATGTAAGTCATTTTAGCATTTCTCACGTTCATATTGAGGCTAATGAATCTAGACATCTAATGAATCTAGACATCAATATGAATGTGAAAAATGCTAAAATGACTTAAATTGTGAAACGGAGGAAGTATAATGTAACGAGTTTTAGTTGGAACGAATCAAACTCACTACGATGATGGGCTGGCATGTATGATTTGACACGACTCCGTTGGCGAGACAGACTTGCACGAGACCTACTTCGCCGCAGATCCGGAGCGAGCTGGCATGGGCGGAGAGCGAAATAGGCTGGTGCTGGCATGAGAAAAATTAGGACGAGTGAAACTAATGCTTTTACGGATGACGATGGACGAAAAAAAAACTACAGAAGCCTTACATATTTTTTTTAATTAGATATAGATAAATATCGACAAGGCTTGGAGAAGCTAGAGGGATACTTCCTTCGTCTCACTTTAAGCGCAACCATAAATTTTGATCTATCGTCTTATATAAAAAATTTTGAAAAAAAATTAAAAACATAAGTGACGCATAAAGTACTATCCACGTTTTATCATTAATAACAATAAAAGTAGTAATCATACAAGTATTTAAAATAAGACGGAAAATTAAAGTTGGATACACGAAAATTCATGGTTACGCTTAAAACGGGACGGGGGGATTATTGCTCTGCGAGAACCATCATGCTTACGCTCGACTTGTACCGGTTGCCTGACAAAAACCAGTAGATAGCGTTGGAAAAAGAAACCGGACAATTTCTTCAAACGCACAAGAAATATATATTCATGGTGATGTCAGTTTACACAATATTCGCTCTGCTTGCAAAGCCCAAGAACAACATATATGGCCGTTTCTGGACAGCAGGAACATACCGTCTTCTTGATAGTCCATTAATCTTAACTTGGATAGAGTCCATTAATGGTCATACCTCCATCAACCGAGATCGTCTGGCCAGTAATGTAACTGGAACCAGGCATGCAAAGAAAAGCAACCAGCGATGATACTTCTTCAGGTTCTCCAACACGCCTAAGTGGAGTTCGGCTCACCACAGCACCTTCAAAGTCCTTATTTGCCAAAAGCTGCATAAAACAATAAGAGGGCAAGAGTTCAGGGACCAGACATTCCATTTTCTAGCACCCCGCAAACAAAGGATAAATAGATAAGCTGGAGTAAAAGAAGAGTTCAGCGTGCAGTACTCAGGACACTTACACCTGTAGCTGTGCTACAACCTTTTTATATCGTGGAATATATTAACAGTATAAGAGGCAAATTTGGGACTAAGGAATAAGAGAAGTAGGGTGTGCGCTGTCACATTTTGAGGTAATCATGGGCATAGAGTAAAAAATGCACAATCATATTTATGATGTGCTTCTATGCTATCCAATTACAAATGAACATGAATGAAAAAAACTTGATCAGCAGGTTAAGAAGGCTATAATTAATTTTAAATCAGCCTCAAGATGAAACTGAAGTCAAACAGAAAAGAAAGGTGGAAAAAAAAACAAGTGAGGCTGAGCTAGTTTCGGTTGGACATTTTTCCAACCCAAAGCTTGTGAAATCTGGTGACACTTTGTATAGACAAATTGGTAAAATAAATATAGCTTAGTCAGGTTCAGAAACAAGAAGATGGCAACCTTGATGCAAGTACAGTTGTATGTAGCCTGAATACCGTATCCTGACAATTAGTTGAATACTTGACTACATGTTCTGACTTAAAATGACAAGTATCCAAACATGATAAATCAGGATGGTTGATAAGCAAAAGCTTTACTCCTTCGGTAAGTGAAGTCCTGATATACCACGGGGCAATAGAGTTGGATCGTATGTTGTCTCTCGCCCATTCGCATGCTAGGTTCTTGGTTAATTGGTTGATTGCACCTAAACAATACCAATAACTGTTTAGAAAAGCTCAAGAAATTGAATGCACATTCACTGGTGAGCTAAAACAGTTACCTTTTGTCATAGCATAGAGAGAACCACTAAATACAGCTACCAATCCACAGACTGATGATATGAAAACAATGCTCCCTGACCCAGATGCTTTCAGAAGAGGATGCGAAAGTTGGCACAGATGATACGCAGATTCAAGATTAGTCGCCATCATAAAAGAGTATTCCTCGGCAGAAAATTCAGTGGTTGGCTTCCTTATGTTTGTCCCCACATTGTTTACCTAGACGACCAAATGAATTCAGGATAAATCAAAAGGAACGTTCAGATATTGAATGATCAGATAGCGTAATCAAATCAAAATTATAAAAAGGAAAGGCACAATAAAACACATCTATGAGAAGATGTACATGGCATGCAAATCAAGCAAACAAAACCTGCACGATCAGTCTGTAAAATCCCATACCAATCAAAGATGTTAATTCAACTATGTGGAGCGTTAGTACCATATAAAACTGAAAATTTGCATTTCTACTCGGTAACCCTTGTTGCTGACATTGCATTTTAGAAGCGTAATAACACAATTTTTCGGCCATTCGAACATGTGTTCTATCTCCAACAGGCCAGTTTGTTGGGCTCTAAATACAACCAAGTTACAACCATCATATATTGTGTGTGCACATTTGAGATCGGATTGCGAGAAAACAGCTCTTATGAAGATCACATTGCGCAACCAAGCAGGTCAAAATCTTTCTATACTTCCCCGCAAAAAAAAAAAAATCTTTCTAAACTTCTGAAGGGCTCTTTTATCTTCAGCTCTATTTGCCCTTTGAGTTATCTATACCAGCATTCTTTGTTTGGATGGGGAATAGTACGAGGGGTTTTAGGGACGAACTTTGAGGCGAACATGCAACTCAATTGCAATATAGAAACGATAAAAGGGGTAATAAAGGAGAGACGAGAGAAGGGGAGTGACTTAGTCGTCTCACGAGGATATCGAGCTTGCCGCCGAAGAGGTCAGCGACTTGGCGGAGGAGGCGCTCACGCTGGTCCCGAACCGAGAGATCGCAGACGGAGGTGGTGACGCGGAATCCCCGGGCCTCCCACTCCTTGAGGCGCTCGCTCAGCTCCTCCTCCTTCCGGGAGCATGTGTGCACGGTGGCCCCCAGCGCCGCCAGCTCCTCCACCACCGCACGCCTGCCCATCACACGGATGGCACACAGCCTCAACCATCGGGGAATCTCGCACGCTCGCGGTGTTGCTACTGAAGAGAGAGAGAGAGAGAGAGAGAGAGAAGAGTTAGCGGAGAGTACCCGATTCCGCGGGTGCCGCCGGTGACGAGCGCCGTCTTCCCTTGAAGAGACCATCTTCTCGGCGCCCCCACCTTCGCCGAGGTCTCCGCAGCCGCGGCCATCTCCGAACCTCCCGCCGGTCGGTTTGGTCCCTTTCGCTTTATCTTCTGTTTCGCAACACAGCAGACGACGATGTACGACGCAAAAGCGGAACAGCACACGTTGGGGGGATTCTAATGGGGATCGATCGCCAGGAGATGGGGGTAGCGATTGATCCCCTCCCCCTCCCTCCACCTGGTTTTTTTTCGTCACCATATTACTTTTCTATTTTAGTAAATTTATGCACCTAAAGTTTATACACCTCAAGTTTACACATATAAAATTTAGAGACCCAAAGTTTATAAGTCAAAAGTTTATATATCCGATTCAAATTTGAATTTGAATTCAAATTTGAATTTGAATTCAAATTTTTTCATATATAGTATTTCTATACATATAAAGTTTATACACCTAAAGTTTATAGACCCAAAGTTTATAAGTCAAAAGTTTACATACCCGTTTCAAATTTGAATTTGAATTATATCTGATTCAAATTTGAATTTGAATTCAAATATTTTCTATATATATAGTATTTTTATGCATCTAAAGTTTATACACATAAAGTTTATACACTTAAAGTTTATAAGGCAAAAGTTTACATACCCGATTTAAATTTGAATTTGAATTCAAATATTTTCTATATATAGTATTTCTATACATCTAAAGTTTATACACCTAAAGTTTATAGTCCCAAAGTTTATAAGCCAAAAGTTTACATACCCGATTCAAATTTGAATTTGAATTCAAATTTTTTATATATAGTATTTCTATACATAAATTTTTCTAACTTTATGTTTTTTTTAAAAAAAATTGTGTGGTGTACTGTAGTAGGGGAGGAGTGTATGGAGTAGTATAGGAGAGAGAGCGGGCGGGTGATCACTGGGCGGGCGGGGGAACGATCACCCGCCCATTAGCATTTCCGACACGTTGGACCCTTTTCTCCGTTTGTCCTTTTTTTAAGGCTCTGTTTGGATGGGGGCTAAAATTTCTAAGAGTTCCTATCGCATCGAATGTTTGGACGCTGATTGAAAGTATTAAACATAGGCTAATTACAAAATCCATTCCATAACCTTGGACTAATTCACAAGACGAATCTATTGAGACTAATTAATCCATGATTAGCCTAAATGATGCTACAGTAAACATTTACTAATTATGGGTTAATTATGCTTGAAAATACTTTATGCAATTAGTTTTACTATTAGTTTATATTTATGTCACGAATTAGCTCTCATTTATACAATTAGTTTTACTATTAGTTTATATTTAATACTCTAAATTAGTGTCAAAAATCCGATGTGACATGGACTAAAGTTTAGGCCCCGGATCAAAACACCACCAGAGGGTGGGGGTAAATTACACGCTGATACAACTCGGGTGATTTTGAAAAATATTATTACTATACGTCTATTTGAGACATGTCATTACAATTTCACAAAAATTAGATATATTTCATTACTCACCTATTTAATGTATTTATTAAAAAATTGGATCATGTTATCACTCCTGTTTCCTTCTCTCTCCTCTCTTACATATGATTCAGATGAAGCCACGTCTGCCGACGACAGAGTTAGTGGCGGCGTGGTCAGCTAGCGAGGGCGAGTCCTTAGTGTTTGACGGGAACCAGAGCTTCTTGCGCCTATCATGCTACTAGTGGACGGGTTGTGCGATGTGCTGGCCATCATGTGCCGGAACCTCGCCACCCGCGTGCCACTGGAGGTCGCCAGGCCGACGGGCTCGATAGAGATTGGACACAGCGGCGTAGCCAGCTAGGTGGCACTGTAGTCTATGGACCACCTAAAAATTTGATCGAGATTAAAATTATAGTATATGTACGAGTTAATATAATAAAAATTATATAGTAGACCACCCATTTAATTAATCTACTCCCTCCGTCCCAAAATATAAGCATTTTTAGTTATGAATCTGGATAATTGTGTGTCCAGATTCATAGCTAAAAGTTGTTACATTTTAGGACGGAGGTAGTATTACATATAGATGGATCACCTTTACAATTCTAGCTACGCCACTAATTGGACAGTTGGAAATATAGATTAGAGGGAGAAGGAAGAAGGGAGGAGGGGTATTTTGGTCTAAATTTTTTAATAAATACATTGAAGAGATAAGTAGTGACATATTTTCAATTTGTCAAATCATAATGATATGTATTCAAATAGAGTAATAGTAATGATATTTTCAAAATGGAAGAAATTGTAATAGCCTGCACGATGCATCCAATTAAACTTTTTTTCAAGGGCATTCCGTTTGTCTATGGCGCATACGAACGACACAACACTATGCAGTAGGCCCCCTATCCACGCAGTATTTCGTTTTGTTGCTCGCAACAAACGTTTTTTTTTAATTTAGTACAGTAGCATGCGGTGCATACCCAAGTGCAAACCAATCAAGTTCACAAGCATCTATTTGCGATCTCCTGTTTGTTTGGGATAGTTGAGTTTTACTGACGTTCGAGCCTCACCTCTGACCTCTCCAAACACAGTTCTTCGATCCCCATACGGCCATACGGTTTGCCTATTCGGTCTAGTCCTGAGTTGGATACAGTCCGTTTATGGTCATGCCGCCGTCGACCGAGATCGTCTGGCCGGTGATGTAGGAAGCGCCGGGCATGCACAGGAACGCGACCAGCGATGACACCTCTTCTGGTTCTCCCACGCGCTTCAGCGCTGTTCGACGCACGACGCTGTCAGCGAAGTCCTTCCTTGCCAATTCCTGCAGAGCCAAAACAAGCGAAACAAAACTATTCAGAACAAGCTGGCCACATAGTTTTCGACTATGGTTTTGATGTAGAAGTACAAATTAAGGAGAGCAGACAAGAATGCATGAATCTCTATACCGAATGATAACACTGGATCCAGAAGTCAATTTTGATGCATTAACGGTGCAACCAAATATCTACCTTACAGTAAATTCAGATGAGCAACGGAAGCAAATGCTACCTATGAAGCTATGACTAATCAAAGCAAAAGAGGCAGTGCCTTACATCTTCCACAAGTGAAGTCTTCATGTACCATGGTGCAACAGAATTGGTTCTTATATTGTCTTTCGCCCACTCACATGCCAGGTTCTTGGCCAGCTGGTTCATGGCACCTAAACAACACCCGAAGATATCTCGCAAGAATCATCAACGATGCATATCGGCTTTTTCACCTATGCCATCCATGAAAAAAAATGCATGTACTGCGGTAATATATATTGTACCTTTTGTCATCGCATAGACAGAGCCAGAACTTACAGCCACCACTCCAGAGACTGACGATATGAAGACAACGCTTCCTGACCCAGATGATTTGAGAAGAGGATGAGCAAGTTGGCACAGATGATACGCAGATTCAAGATTGGTGGCCATTATGAACGAGTAATCATCTGCAGAGTATTCAGTGGTTTGTTTTGAAAAGTTTGTTCCCACGTTGTTCACCTGCATACCAAAATGCGAAAACATGAAAGAAATCAACTGCAGGTCTACAACAGTAGAGCTGAGGGTTGTCAAAGTAACACATTTCTCAAAGTAACTCAAATGTTCGATGAATTTCAGTGCTAAAGTGGCACCTAGCCTTGATGTTATATATGCAAACTCTCCGCTAAACATGAACTCTGACTTACCAACTAAGCATCATGACTAGCAGGCAGCAAAGTGGTTCAGCCATGGTCACATCTATGATTTATGCATTACTAACCATGTAGATGAAAATCGAGAGAGTCATGCTTGATCGAAATTGGGTTCAGTGACGAGAAAGGCTGGGACCTAGATGGGGAAGCAAGGAGTTAAATTGAGGAGAGATAAAGAGAAACTAAGCGAAGTGCTTTACGAGGATGTCGAGCTTGCCACCGTAGAGGCCGGCGACCTCGCGGAGCATGCGTTCCCGCTGCTCCCGCACGGAGACGTCGCAGACTGAGCCGGTGACGCGGAAGCCCTTGCCCTCCCACTCCCTGAGGCGCTCGCCCAGCTCGGCCTCCTTCCTGGAGCAGGTGTGCACGGCCGCCCCCAGCGCCGCCAGCTCGTCCACCACCGCATGCCTGCGCATGAATTCCCCGCGTTGATCGTGGAAGAGCAGCAAAGGCTCTGCGGTGGAGGTCTCACTCCTCACTGGGTAGCGATAGGGGAGAACCAGAGAAGGGTGTTGGGGTGAGTACCCGATGCCGCGGGTGCCGCCGGTGACGAGGGCCGTCTTGCCGCGGAGGGTCCATCTCCCCGCTGCGCCGCTTGCGACCGCCTCGGCCATCGGCCTCGAGGGTGCGGCTGGGAATAATTTTGCGAGAAAATCCGTATTATCAGTTCTTCGGGAAAAACTCCCGATTCGGGTTGTTGGCTCGTCGCCAGTATTCGGCGTTATTATTCAGAAAAGTCACTGATCGATCGGTAGCTATTCCGGTTGTTTCCTGAAAATATCCCAATCGAAATTTTCACACGCTTCCCAGCCTCGGGCCGCTATGATCCGGAACTGCTAATGCGCGGCACCCCCGCTCCCCTCCCCCGGCTATACTCCTCCCCCTTCTCCCCCCCCCCCTTCCTACTCCCCTTATTCTCTTTCTACTACAGTACATCACAATTTTTTTTAAAAAAAAATTAGAAAAAATTATGTATAGAAATACTATATATAAAAAATTTGAATTTAAATTCAAATTTAAATCGGGTATGTAAACTTTTAACTTATAAACTTTGGATCTATAAACTGATGTATAGAAATACTATATATATATATATATATATATATATAAAATATTTGAATTCAAATTCAAATTTAAATCAGATATAATTCAAATTCAAATTTGAATCGGGTATGTAAACTTTTAACTTATAAACTTCATGTCTATAAACTTTAGGTGTATAAACTTTAGATGCATAAAAATACTATATATAGAAAATATTTGAATTCAAATTTCTATATATTTGAATTCAAATTCAAATTTGAATCAGATATAATTCAAATTCAAATTTGAAACGGGTATATAAACTTTTTACTTATAAACTTTAGGTCTATAAACTTTAGATGTATAGAAATACTATATATAAAAAATATTTGAATTCAAATTCAAATTTGAATCAGACATATAAACTTTTGACTTATAAACTTTTGGTCTCTAAACTTTAGATGTGTAAACTTGAGGTGTATAAACTTTAGGTGCATAAATTTACTAAAATAGGAAAGTAATGCGGTGCCAAAAAAAAGGAAACTAGATGGAGGGAGGGGGGAGGGGGATCGATCGCTACCCGATCGCCTTGGCGATCGAACGCCCATTAGAAGTCCCCGCTATGATCGATTGATCGGCATCAATCCGGTCATTACTAGCAAGCCTCATCCAGATGAACCGTGGCCCGCGGCTGGACGCCTGGAGCGTCGGCTTTGACTTTCTTAAAAGTGACCCAAATCTAATCTATGACCCTAAACCACAAAAACCTCCGAACTATTGAAACCGGCTAGAGCGGTGGCGGGCGAGGGCCAGAGTGGTGGCGGCCAGCGGGAGCTGAAGCAGCGGCGGCGGCGGTGGGCTGGACCATCCGGCTGCCACCCGTCCCCTCCATCTCCTCCTCCTCGTCATCCTCATCCTTCTCCTCCTCCGCGTAGTCGTCGCTGCCGCCGCCGCCAACCTCCCCAACCACGCTGTTGGATTAAGGAGGCCGACTAGAGGGGGGTGAATAGGCGGTTTTAAAACTTTTGGCTAAAACCGAGTTTTGTATGCGGAAACGTAAATCAAAATGGTTTTGCACAATTCAAAACCTAAATCAACTAGTCTCAAGTAAGTGCACAAAGAAGCTAGCCTATGTAAGATTTGCAAGCCTAGGGTGATAATAGTACAAATAAGCTCTAGTATGTAAACTTGCTCAAATGTAAATACAACAAATAAATGAGACAAGAGACAAGGGATTCTTCACCGAGGTTCGGAAACTCGCCGGTTTCCTAATCCCCGTTGAGGCGAGCCCAACTCCACCGCTCAACCACGAACCACCGCACGCCCCCTTTGTCAAGGGGTGGGCAAGGTGGGAGCCGGCCCACGGAGAGGACTACCCAAGCCTCGATCACTAGGGTAGTTCTTCCTTCACTCCGAAGGTGGTGAACTCCAAACCACTCACAACAGGCGTCGGGCCTCCTCCACAATCTCCTCGGAGAGGTCACCAGGCAACACCTTCACAAGCCGTCTATGAGGCGCAACCTCCAAGAGTAACAAGTCTAGGATGCTTGCCGAGGATGATCAAGTGCCACACTAGCTCTAACAATGAAGCAATGCACTTGGATTGGCTTAACTCACTCTCCAACACCTCACTAGATAAACTAAGTGTACAAGGGTGTGAGAGCTCTTGCAAGGGTTCAAGATAATGCAATGGAGTGTCAAAACCGTAAACAAGCATGATTTATACAGAAGAAAATAGAGCGAGCCCCCAGCATTAAACCGTTGTCGGCCTAACACCGGAAACACTCGCATAATAGATATTGTATAAAAAACATGCTCTAGGTAAACACAATAAATTATGGATCATAATATTGTATGATCTGGAAATAGGCACGACAAATTGCACATAAAATATTGCGTACCTTTGTAGATACATGCCGGATGTATCTACGAAATTAGTAGATTAATTTAAAAAATCAATCTACTAAATACCTTGATTTTCATGCCCGACATACTATCAATAGAAGATATATGTATGCATGCAGTAGACCTAGACGTCAATATCTTGCTGTCTTGGAAGAGCAATGCCACCTGTCGCATGCATACACGTGTCTAGGCATGTGTACGTGACATAGTTAGGCAAGCACGCTTGGTTGACCAATTCCGGCTAGCACACGGCAAGTTGGCGACGCAGCGGCGCCTGTTCTCGGAGAATTTCGTGCGGCATGCATCGAGGTATATTGGTTGGTGGGAATCGGCGTCGTGTCCGGCCTGTGTGCAGCCAGCCAATACCTCACACCAATTGATGTCGTGCACGAGGAGGAATTGGTATTGGATCGGTTTCGGAAGCTGCCGATACTGAAGATTCTCCACGGCGGCGATGACTTGATGAAGCTTGGTCGATCTCGCCGGATCGAATATTTGACGACGATGGTTCCGATCTTGTTGGACGACATACTCCGGTTGGGTTAGATCTCCCCATAACCGAAGTTATCGAGTAGCTTATTGTTGGAGAATCCATCTCTTAAACCCATCTCGTCGAAATCGTGAAGCACCAAAGTACCCATACCTGGCGCGCCACTGTCGACGTTTGATGTCGCGATTCCGGTATTTGCATAGTATGGTGATCATTGGTACTAGGGTATACGCGAGACTGAGGTAAAAGTGATGGAGACAGGGATTTTTATACAGGTTCGGGCCCATGAATTGTCAGGTAATAACCCTACATCCTGTTGGCCGAAGCCGGTATTGCTCTTATTCATCATAATCACACCAGTACAATATTTGGGGTAGCCTATCTAACTGTTGTCGACATGGCGGTCTGAAGGTCTGACTCGTAGTCGACAACAGGGTAGCCTTCCTCCTCGAATCCGTGCCCAGCGAGATCAGATATAGTGCTTTCGTCTCTCCTGACAGTATCCGGAGACACCGTAGGGTACTAGCCGTGCTTATCCCTGAATTCGACATCCAGCGGCGTGTCTTGGCGTATGTAGGCTTCTATGTTGTGGCTTCTATGTCCATTGTGTTGGGTGTTGATCCTCATCCCTCTCCTCCTAGGGGGGCTTATATTTATACCCATAGGTGTCCCCTTTTCCAAGTAGAACTAGGGAAACCAATATGGATACAATCCGAGTAGTCCTTGTCGTTTCCATGTAGAACTCTGGTTGTCTTTCCTTATCCGGAACTCCTCCTATATCTGAAGGTTGCTTCTGTATAGGACATGGTATGTAGTGGGTTCTGTCGAGATTTAGCCAACTACTATTAGGTATGTGGTATCCATAACCCTGACAGTAGCTCCCGACTTCAATGCAAATGAACGAGTTCATATTCTCAACCGCAGACCTTGGAGGAACTGTTATCGAGTGCACGTGACCGTTCTTGGTGAGTTCAGAGATAACGTTAGACTTCCTTTATCAGCCTCGTGCGGACACCTAAAGGGTTTGTCTGAGTCAATCTCCGACCTCAACCAAGAAAGTACAGAGCATACGACTAAATCTCCCGTCTTGCTGTAATCGAGAATTTGGATTGAAGTCAAGAAATTTTTTCTCGGCGGGTACACCATCTCTTAATTCCGTATTCCTTGTCGAGATCCACCAACCGTTCTCGAGTAATCGAGTAGGCGTAGAGTCTGCGACGGAGCCTTGTCAACATTTGTCGTACTCGCCTTAGTCGATCTTGGTGTAGAACCATAGAGACATGAAGTCTTCGACAATGTCGGATAGAATTTTCCTGAAATAAATACTCAGAAAAGAATATTAGATAGAAATAGCCCCCCGAGCGAACGCTCAAAGGGTGACATGTTATAATATGTATGGAAAACTAAAAATGAATTAAACTTACAGACCAATGTTTTGTATATGAGCGTCTACTCTTTTACCGACTTCGATCAGTCAGTTTGTTGAGTTATGCACTCTCCCTAGCCCCCAGCCTTGTCATCGGAGAATTGTTCTTGGAAGATAAGGCTCTTGGACCTTTGACCTGCCTCGGTTGAACAAGCACTGATCCTAGCCCCCAGCCGTGAAGTTGGAAAACCCAATTTCCGATTACACGGCTTGGTTAATACGCACGGCTAGAACTCTTACACGACCAGATCTTACATGGTCTTTTGTCTCTACAGGATCCGACAAGGCCTTATCGGCTCTGGGCGTCCCCAGCCGAAGTTCCCTTAGGTTCCTCGGAGGCCTTGTCAAGACGGCGTAAAGGGACATGAGGATAGGTTTCAACGCTAGGTGTCATCGTGGTAAGGGATCTCTGGGTAAAACACTTGGCATCATTGTGTACCTGATATCAACTTTGTTGAGGTAAAGGTAGTGGGAGAATCGCTACACCTCTGGTCGAGGACTAGGTAGTAGTCGTAACTCAACCACTTGAAGTGGAAATAGTGGGAGAATCACTACACCGGTGGTCGGGGACAAGATAGTAGTCGTAACCCGACCACTTGAAGTGGAAATAGTGGGAGAATCGCTACACCGCTGGTCGAGGACCAGATAGTAATCATAACTCGACCACTAGAAGTAAGGCGAGAGAGATAACTACGTTCTACTGGTTTGAGAACCAGGAGTAGGAGTCTCTTAATCACCTATAGGGGCGCTAAAGTTGGTTTATTACATGTGCACATCATGTGGCCAGCATGACTCACATACCCAACTTATAGCATATCCGGATGTCCGTTCGCAATTATGTCGGGTGATCAAGCCGACGACGTTCGCGAGGAATTATCCTTTAACAACCTTTTCTCGAGTAGTCCAGCCATGGTCGGTGCTATGAGATAGGTCATCGGTCTTCGTTGGCAGGTTGGGCGCGACGACTCTGCATTCGTCGAGATCGTTCTCGATAATGGGGTGTACTTGACCACA